CATATCCAACAAGATAGCTCATTTTCAAAGGATTCTCTCCCAACACATAATTAGCCTACAAAGTAAGTTTAGGAACACTTTAGTAAAGGAATAGCAGTTTCCCAAGGGTTTACGCACAGAATAATAGTAGTCTTACCACATTTCTATACCACAATTCTATACCACATGATGTGGCAGCTGGTGTGTACATACCACATCAGCTAATTAATGTGATTAACACCTTTTTTTTTTCTTTATTAAAATATACTTCATTGATTTAATTGATGTGGCATACGATATGGACATGCCACATCATGTGGTTTAGAAATGTGGGATAAAAATGTGGTAAGTATAGCATTACTCTTAGGCACAATATATTTCAGCTGCCGAATCAGATAGCATACCTGAGATCTAGCAAATTTCCGAATATCTGATGCCTTATAGGAATCTCCATCACACTCTAGTTTTGAAGTCCGAGATGTAAGCATGTAGTCACTATAAAGAGCAGCCAGGAAAGCAGAAGAAACTGGATGCTGCAGAGCATTCCATTCACTCACCCATATCAGACCATCTGCAACCATGATGGTAAGGTAAAACCAAGGAGAATGAGAGATGTCAGAAATAGAACTGAATAATTCTAACTGAAAATGATTCAGATCCTTAGGAGCATACGCAAACTAGCCTAGGATAGATTGAAAATAAAATAATGTTTCCAACCGTGGATATGCACTTGATAGCTTGCAAATGTTCACACATCTTTGCTGTTCAGAGCCTCATCTTTGTCTAAGAGAAATATCACTATCTTTTGCATAATAGGACGCAATTGTGTTAATCACTCCCTATTTGATTTAAAGCCACAAGTCAGATACTATGTAAAAGGTAATGGAATTTGTCTGGAAGGGAGGCTATTGAATTGGAATGTTGAAGAAGATTTGATATATTTCTGGATAACTAATCTTGAAGCTGGGCAGCAGGTGGAAGTCTCTTACTCTAAAAACCAACAAGGGAAAGATATGCATGACAATCCAAGTAATATGACAATAAAGAAAAAAAAATTACTCTCTGTTCTGCTGTTTGTGGCTGTGGGAGAGTTTGGCAGGAGGCCACACATAACAGCCTCAGCTGTTTTCCTGTACTTCTGAAGGCCAGAATTGCCCGAGGTGTCTTTCCCACCAAAGAAGCTTAACCTGGATAGCAAAACCTGCACGAAAATTGCAGAGTGCTCACACCACTAAGAGAAATTTTTTACTTACAGAATAATGGTACAGTGTCTTGCAAATGGACATCCTACGAATATAGCTATTAAAAACAATACAGGAAGAGCAACACATTGTCAAATCGAGACCATCACAGGAGTTAAGGACAAGCCAGCACACAGTATCCCAATTGAATGGCAGGTTTCTCGGGTGAGTTGCATTTTACTGTGGCATATAACAGTTTAAATCACAGCATGCAGATATCTTAATTCAGGGACCTCAGTCATGACTCATGAGAAGACAAAACACAACCCCAAAAAAGAAAAAAGAAAGAAAGGATAGTTCTCAACATACCTGGGTTCCTGCAAGCTTGTTATCCCAACTGAACCATGTCGGTTTCCCAAATTGAGCAAACTCTTCTCCATTGTCCCCTGTGACATAATCAAGGTATGACTGATCCCCTGTTGCATGGTAAAGCCAGGCAGCTGCCCACAGAAGCTCATCTCCATATCCTGTTGAGTTGTAAAATTCCTGGACCTCGGTGATGCTTTGACTGTAAGAGCCTCTGTTTTTGTCGGCAAAAGTAAATAACTGTTTGGCATGCTTAAGAAGTGTGGCTGAATATGTGGCATTGCTTTTCTTAAAGACCAGAGATGCCGAAGCCATAGCAGCCGCAGTTTCAGCTGCAACCTCTGTCCCTGGAGAAGATGAGTTTATCTGTGTGAGTGGTCGCTTCCCAGTCATGTCTTCTGGCCTATTCCAACAATCATGGTCCTTTTTAGGGTCACCCACCTGCCCCATAGTATAAATTGGTAAAGAAGACACACTTCAGAAACATTACTTGTAATGAAAATGGTTCAACATTAAGCACAGTAGTTTATCAGATTGTAGGTTCAAAAAGGAACATTCCCCAATTTATTCCACAATAAACACTAATATTCGTCACTAAATTTGGAAAATGATCAAGCAAATGACCCTTTTAAAAATCCTACTGTTAGCCTGGAATTCAGTATCACAATACAATGCTGAATATAAGATGGGAATGGGCAAGCATAAGGAAGAAACAGAAATGGGAACGGGCAGAATGGTTGGAAAGGTGTTTGAAGAGTGGTAGACGAAACCTGAATATAGAGCACATTGTCTTTAGGATGAGCATTAACAAGGAAGTCAGTGATCCACTTGAGGGAGCCTTGAACAGTTTGTAACTGATTCACCGCATCCATTTGATCCCCATACTCAAGAATCGACCACGACAACACCGTGGCAGTAAATGCCATTGGAAAACCAAACTTCATGTGATCCCCAGCATCATACATTCCTTTGGACAAATCCAATTTCTCATCGCTTCCATCTTTCAGACCCGAATCCCCTCTCCATGATATCTTATTATCTACCAACTTGCCCGCTATAACAATCACCCACAAATAAAATTTAGTTAGAAAAAACAAAATAAAGATCAAGGACTACAGTCTATACCAACTTTAGCAATTGGGTATTGGTTAATAGTAATAATTTGAATCAATTCAACAGTTACTAAGGAGGTTAATGGCATGGGTAGAAGAGATCAAACACTAAACCAATTTGAGCAATTGGGTATTGGTAATAGTAATAATGTGAATCAACAGAAAGGTAAAGAAATTTAACACATTGCAAAATTTCAAAATGTAAAAGAAGAAAGAAAGCAATACAAAGATCAAACACTAACTATACCAATTTTAGCAATTGGGTATTGGGTGATACTACAACAATGTGAATCAAGTGGACAGTTAGTAAAGCAATTGAACACATTGTAAATTAAAAATAAAAAAAGAAGAAAGAGAGAGCCTAGCGTACATTTCTGAATGTCGAAGAATTGCACAGCGAGTTTGAGAGCGTCAGAGTATTTCTGGGTAATGGCGCCTGGAGGGCCGGGGACGGGACCGTTGTCATCGTCGGAGCTGTTAGATTTTTTCTTTACGATTGCGACGACAATGGCAGTAACAACGAGAGCCAGGACCACCAGCACCAGCAGCCATGCCCAACACCCCTTGGACCTCGATTTAGCTCCCATTGATGTTTGAGCTACAAACAATTAAGCAAACCAACCAAAACACTAGCGATAAGTAGAGAAGAGATCTATCTAGCACATTGTGACAAACAATTATCAAGGTTTTGGTAGAAAATGTGGTTAATTAGAAACAGAGACTCTAATTAAGCATCGATTGGCGCTCCCTCGGATCGGAAACGCAGATATTTGTTTTTCTTTATTGTTTGTTGGAGTGGGCATTGCACCGACAACGCAACAAGGTTAATTTCACCGGCTTTTTCTGGGTTTTTTTGGAGTGTGGGTTGGGTTTCTCCCGTACAATGACGGAAATGCCCCTCCAGGCAGGCTGGCAAACGACATTTGTGGCAAGCTGAGATGCCTAGATCTGTGTTAGACTAAGTCAAAGGTGAAGAAGACTCCTGACCGCCGTTGATATATCACCAAAGGAAAGGACCAGATGATTTTAACTGGCCACCGACAGGACGGTGGAACAAATTGACAGCGGACCCTAAACCCTGGCCTGGTGGTTGGGTTGGGTTTAAGGCCTTTTTGGGTGTGATATCACGAGTCTGCCATCCGCATGACGTTGCTAAAGTGGGCCAAATTCTGGTGTAACTGTGCAATCTGTTAGAGCGTTGTGGCAGGTCAAAACATTGCTTCATTGGACCAGCAGTCCAGTCCAGTCCAATCATTTTCTTTTTTTGTTTTTGTTGGAAAATATTTTCTAATACTAGTTTGCATTCTTCCAAAGAGTGCATGTAATATTTTGTTGACTCGAAGAACAAAAGAATGCATGTAATAAATATTTTAGGAGCGGATTATGTTTTCTTCTTTATTTTTTTCTTTATAAATTCAAATATTTATAATTTAATTGGATTTAATCTTGATTTCTTACATTGGCGAAAGACGGTGGATCCCTCCCTTCCTGTGTTACAATCAATGAAGAAAATAATATAAAAAGATAAAAATTAAAACCAAAAGTTGTGCGTTTTGCCTAAGAAACCCGCTGCTTTCAAAAACCGTTCGTTTATTTCATAAACGCATCAAAAAATTAACCCTCTTATCCTTATCGCGTTTTTAGTTTCACAGTGTCTTGTCTTGTACTAGTGTTTTCTTTTTGCCGGTGGAGTCTTCTACTACAGCATCGGGTGTTCTGTTTGGAATTAGTATTCATCATCAGTTGTTTTTTTGCTACACCATATATCTAATTTGACGGCCGACATTTCAAGGCAGAGACAGCTCCCGATCATCAAGAACCTCTTTGATTCTTTTCAGGTATGTTGTTTCCGAAAATTCTCTGCCTTTGATCAATGCAACATTTCGATTGCTGAGCGAACGATTCAAACAATAATTTTATGTTCCACCCTATTTCAAGATTTAGTTTCTTGGGGTGACTGGAGTTTTCTTTTCATTTTCTGATCAACCCAAGTGCAGAACAATTTCTAGTTCTTTTTAAATAAATAAATTTTAGGTATGTATTGGTGAATCTTATAATTAAGTCAATGTAATCAGTTTTGCACCGTCGGACTGTTTATATCTTGGTCTCGGTGGTTGTGCATAGTAAAGCTCTAAGCTTCCAAAGCAATATTATATCATATATAAGCTGTTACCAACTTGATACTGAGTGAGTATTTAACTAGTTCAATGACAATGTGAAGAAGCTTGGAAGATTAAGTTCATCGTCATTTCCGTCTATCTTCTTTGTTTAATTGGTAGTGATAAAAAAAAAAATTGGTCTTGCTCTGGTTCTGAAGTTTCTTTTGATATAACACAGTGATAGGGGTGTGTTTATCGAATAAATGGTTGTGTGTCAGTCGGATCAAGACCAATCGAGGGCCAAATGGACAACGTTTTGCACCAAAATGTTTGCAGATTTGCTGGTTGAGCAAATACGGAAAGGAAATAGGAGTAGCGGTGCTTTTTCAAAGTTGGCTTGGAAGATTATCCGAGATGAATTCAATAGGCAGACTGGTCTCAAGTTTGATAAACAACAATTGAAGAACCATCTCGATGTTCTGAGGAAGAGATACAATTCTGTGAAGGCAATTCTTGATCACCCTGGCTTTACTTGGGATGCTTCTCAGTCTATGCTCCTAGCTCAGGATGATGTATGGCAAAAGTACATTGAGGTAGATTTTCTTCCCCCTTAAAACTTCAATGTTTCATAAATACTATAAGGCTTGTAATGCCATCATATGAATATATATGCATAGGCACATCCTGAGGCTGACACTGTCAGAAAGAGGGGCTGTGATATATATGAACAGCTATGCATTATCTTCTCATCAGACTCCGGAACCAATGTAAATCATGCCTTTATCGTTTTAGGAACAGCCGTGCATCAGGTACTTCTGTTCGTTTTCATGGGTTTTCTATGTCGACATCATACATCATTTCCTTCTGTCTCAGTAGAAGTAAATACTCCCCTCATTTTAGATAGATGAAGACCCGCCCAGGGCCAAGTGGACTGTGCCTCTTGAGAAGATATTTGTAGATTTGATGCTTCAGCAGGTTTTTCAAGAGAATAGGTCGAACAATGCTTTTAGCAACAAAGCTTGGAAGTATATACACCATGAATTTAATAGACAAACAAAGTTAAATTATGATAAGCAGCAGTTGAAAAATCATCATGGTGTTTTGAGAAAGTGGTACCACAGTGTAAGGTCACTTCTTAATCAGGATGACTTTAGTTGGGACAAGTCTCGATGCATGGTAATTGCTGAGAATGATGTGTGGGCAAAATGCATCGAGGTTAGTTTCACTCTACATGAATCATACTTACATGAATTGCCTCTTCATTTTCCATAGTATGTTTCTCATCTAGTTGGATTTACAGAAGCATCCTGAAGTTGAGGCAATAAGAGTCAAAGGATGTCCGCATTATGAACAGTTAGACAGGATATTTTCAGAGTCAGGCAGTTCTGGAAATTATGCTTTCCCTGAATCACAGACGGCTGCTTCAAAGGTACGTGTTCTGTTCATTTCATTCTTAATCGTTGATGCAATGAAATTATTCACCAGATCTTTTAACTTGCACGGGTTTTGTTTCTTGGAATATATTGTAGATGGATAGTCCGCCTAGTGAAGATCAATTCAAGCGAGATCAATCAAGAGCAAAGTGGTCAGCGCCACTGGATAAGATACTTTTAGACTTGTTGATTGAGCAAACTGGGCAAAATAAAATGTCCAACAAGAAAGCATGGAAACATATACGGGAAGAATTCAATTACAAAACAGGTTTGCAGTTTGATGGTGAACAGTTGAGGAATCACCAAAATGTTCTTAAAAGGTTGTACAACAACATAAAGTCGGTTCTTGATCATAGTGGTTTTAGTTGGGATAATTCTCGAAATATGGTAATGGCTGATGATGAATTGTGGGAAAAGTACACCACGGTATGCCCTCTGCATATCTCATCTCAAGTTAATTTCCATTACATTGTCATTGCAATGACGAACATTGCTTGTGTTATTCTACTTGCAGGCACATCCTGAGGCTGAAACAATTAGAAATAAGGAGTGCCCAATTTTCAAACAGTTATGCGCATTATTTTCAGAGTCAAAAGCTGAAGAGACATACATTCTCTCAAGTCATGATGTGAAGCTGAATCAA